AAAAAAAAAATGCCCCTACACGTGAAAATCACTTAGCACTTGATGTATCAATTACACTAGGCGGAACATACCATAACAGGAACATCGGCCATTGCAGCCGTTGTTAGTACACTACTATTGGACGGTGAGCCAGTCATCAGTGAACTTCCATCATTCGCATCACCTGCAATACCATACATATTCTCTGCTTCCGATAGGAACATATTTTCACAACCAAAACAATCATGTGTTCCGGAACACTTTTTCACCATGGTATGCATCCGGCAAGCGAGATCACTTAACACAGCACAACTTATAAGGCGTATATATGATTCTTAATGGACCGAAACGTCTCTTATCTCACTTTTATCTTTTTCTCTCATACTGCTCTATCATGCCGTAATTTATCTCGTCCTTGCCATTTGGGCTTCCAGAGTCAACCTGGCTGCTAAAATCGGCTCATAGTCCAAGATGAAAAGACGTTACACCGCTTTACTCGTCCCAGTCGCATGAACCAAATCACTGGAAACCTTGAATTTCCAATGCCACGGTGAGGACATGAAAAGCTATGATCCAAAATTTAACGGGACTAAAGCAGGAAACTGTTTGCATTTTGCTACTTGAAACAAAACCAGCAGCAATTTCTTCAAAAAAATTTTTTAACATACCGTCGGAACGAAATCCTCCTTGTAAGCTGGGCGTCATTCTCAAAATCCACACTAAATGTTGCAGCGAAGCGAGAATAAGATGCCAGCAATCACCCAAGTACTGACCGTTCGCTTGAGCGGAGCTCACCAACACACGCGCCACTTGAATGTTCTTTGCAGTTAGCTAAAAAACTAAGATAAAACTCGGACTAGTATCGTAAATGTCTTTGGAAGGGCGCTTTATTGTGGGGGTTTTTTAATCTGCAGTCATAGATTAAATAAGTAAGCTGATGTGGTCCTGAAGAAAAATAGAAAAGAAGCTCCTGTTCAATTCATAGGCGAATCCAGGGCGGCTTGGGGGAAGGGAGGGCAGGAGATAAAAGTGGGGCTTCTAGGGCTAACGAAGAGAATTTTCTACAGGAAAACAACTCCTATCAGTGCCGCTAGGGAAAAATACACACCGCTCCCGTCCTCCCCCCACGATGGTTCAGTTAGACACCAGCCCGAAAAAGAAAACTGTCTAAAAGTTACATGACATACCACTACTGCTGCATTGTAAAAATTTGATGGAAGTGAAGGAGTGGGGCATGCAATCCCGACAGCCACAATCTGACTCGGTTGACCGGCTGCTGATTCACTCTCGAATTTGTCCAGTCCAGTCTTATGGCCTGCAAATGAGTCGGACGAGAAATGCATTTCAATCTCATTTTCAATTTTATAAATCCCAACAAAAGCGCTAAAAACTCTTAGGCAAGAATTCAGTACAGCTGAAAATTAAACACAGAGGGTAACGAACTGCCGACTAGAAAGCAAAGTCTGTAACAAGAACTGCCTGTAAAATTTTAAGTTGCAATAGCAAAGAACAAAACTCACTGATAATAAACTCATGAAAAACGAACCGCCAGAACAATCCTTGCCGATTTGAAAATGCTCCAGAGAAGGGGCTGTTTCCGGTACAGCGCCGGCAGCACCAGCAGCAGAAAGTCCCACAGTATCAGTGACACCCACCACTCGTACCAGATATTTTGGAGGCAATGAGGCTTTGCAAAGCGCAAAATAGAGAGCGTCACGACCAGAAAAATGCGAGATACGGCATGAGAGTGTGATGAGCGTCGTGAAACATTGCAACAGCTGTTCTGTCAACGATTCGTCGATACTGAGACAACAAATGAATGTTACAAGCACCGATCATATGCAGATGCAAATGCAGGGCAATTAGAAAGCGCTCTCACCTTGCTTCTAGCAAAAGCGATATGGCAACGAGTATACTCGTATAACTGGACTGGAATAGCTGCCATGCTACATCTGCAAATACGTTGCATTTTACTGTCGAACCAAAGATTGGGTCCCTTACGGGAGGGAACAGAACCAGCACTCTTTTTCACATTCAGACGAAACGTGCTATCCACTACACCATCGGCCCTTGTGCCCCATACATACCAGCTGAAGTATATATTCGACTTTATGCATATCAGTAGCATACATTTCACTCGGCACTTCTAACGCTGTCTACCAACATAACCCATTTTCGTCGGTTTAACCGGGCTTTCCACAGGAATTCATCGACAGATTGTATTTCTAACTATGCTGTCACTTCCACAACAGTGTACTGCTGCTCAAAGTATCGTGTCCAATCAAAAACACAAAGAAAAAGCATGAAACAAATGAAAGGTGCAACCCTGGAACGGCGGAAGAATTTATGCCGCTTCAACGAGATGAGCTCTAAAAAAAAAAACAGTAGGTTGCGAACTCACAGCCTCGGTACTTTTTCAGAGAAAGGGCAGCATGGTGATGTACCGTTATGTTGCATCGCTAAAATATTCAGACTGCCCATTCTGTCCGAACCTTCTTTTTCTTTCCTCGCTCGTAGCGATTCGATAGCTTCGAAGATTGAATGGCAGCACGCAATTATGCAATGATATGTGAGCGAGAGCGAATAACCATCCGACAAATCAGCGGCTTCGTGTTTTTCCAATGAATCGAGCCTAACAAAATGGAAAATATTTGCAACACACTAACGCTGATAAATCAAGTCTTCTAAATCTTCGTCGATGTGTAGCGCATTCTCAAAGATATTTCCGTAGCACCCCTTCGTCCAAAACAGGAAGCTGTCACGAGCGAGTAGAAGTAATGGTGGTAAAAAGCGAGTACAAATAATGATCGTACGATGAAAAGTTTTATGAAATTACTTACAATAACGATTTTCTGGGTACGATATTTTGATAGAGTGGCATCCATACACCGCGATACAAGAAGCCTGCTTGTGCCATTGTTTGACTAGTCGTATCAAAATGCTGTTCCTCGTCTTTACTTGCTAAAAATGAGCAATTTTTATGAAAACAGAAAATACCAATGTCCACAGGCGGATCTAGGGCGGGCTCCTGGACAGGAGAGGGAGCGAGAAGTAGAGCTCCGGGGGAAGGGGAGGGAGGAGGGAGGAGGAATCTCCTCCAATCCTAGGACCATGCAAAAACTAGGAATAGGATTTTAACAGGACTACTTAGAGTTACTTTAGGCTTCAGTTTACTTTAGTTTTAGCTTTAAATCCGGACTTTGCAGCACTGGTGTCTGTGCCGCTCGGGGGAGGGGGGACGAAAGACCCATCCCCCTGCATCCGCCTATGCCAGTGTCGTTTTAAATGTTTGACGTGCTGGGACGAGATACATAATGTTATATCAACGCCCACACTAGCTGCACTTTATAGATCCTTCGTTTTCAGGAATTTCGGCTACTTCGTCCCGAATCAACAATTGCTCACATTTTTTCGCGTTGCTCACAGTGACGTCCGTCTATCACCGATTGGCAGATCTTACTGTGAATTACTCTACCAAGGCCATCTCGTCCACCTATTTTTGCTAGGCCTTTGTCAGTACTGCGACTATAACAGCTGAACTACGATGATACAGTGTTAAATGAGCACTTACGTGAATCAGATGCAGCACAGCGCATGAACGATAGCTGCACATAAGTGGCAAAGCCAGACATTATTGACTGCACAATCTTTGTGGCACCTGGTCTCCCATCATAATTCTCACAGAATCGTCTGAAAACACAGTAAATGGTGGAGCTTTCACACCAGAAGTTTTGGCTAGCAGTTTCAGCAATCCAAACAAAGTGAAAACAGTGTTGTGTACAAAAATTGGGGAAAAAAACAAAAAACATACATGAGAAGATCCGGTAAAACTACAATCCTGTAGAGGACTTCCAGAGCGATTGCACGTTGCCACCCTAATTTGTCGGATTCCAAAAATTTAACTAGCAGTGATAAGAAGATTTCACATTCGGTTACCTGGAAAAAACTCATCTGTCCAAAATAAAACACAGAAAAGCTCCTTTTTTTTTTT